AAGTTACTGATCACTGGCCACCCGAGGAGGGCATAATCTTGGGCAGGGAAATTTCCTAAAGCTGAGGGCAATTTCCAACAAGAAGATCAGCTGTGAGCCATCAGTAGCTAGTATTTGCCTCAGCTAGGGGACAAATGTGTTAGCTGCATAGTTTAGGCACTGCCATCAATCTATTTCCTTCTTTCTGCACATGCATATAACACAGAAAATAAAACAATTCTATGAAGTAGAATTTCCCTTATGCTGCCCATTTCTTCCAGCTAAATATTTTCAATTCCTGTAGCTGGTTATTGTTATATTTATGTTCAGTTATCCAAAAGAGTTCTTCCTGACCTTTTTCATATGGGGAGTGCCATTAGGCCCTGCTCTACTTTGACCATTCTCTGAATAGCCCTGTCCTCTAAGAGATAAAAACCTACCCCAAACACTTAGGAAATCAATATCTTAAGGTTCACCTATAACCAATTATTTGTCTTTTGCTCTGTTTTTTTGTTTGCTTTGTTTTGGAGGGAAAATAGCCTCAGTTTTATCTTTCAATTCTTTTATTATTTTATTTATTTCTGTCATAATGTTTTTAATTTCTATGGATCCTTTTTGTTATTTATGTTGTGTTCTATTTGTATTATATCATCCTACTGTCTTATGAAAGCAATATTTCATCTCTTTAGCAATATGATAATTTATGTGAAGCCATCTTCTCCCTGAATGATCTTAGGCCCCCCCTAAATTGCTGCTTTATGTTGTTTAACCTCTATATTTAATTTTAGAAATCTTAAAATATCTGTTAGTTGTTAACTTTCTGGTATATTTTGAAATGGCCGTGAAAAAGTTGACTGAAACGTGGATAGGCTTGTTGACCCACAATGAAGTGCTATTGGTATCTTCCTCTTGGGCTAGTTTTCATTAACGAAGATTCTACTAAAAGAATATAATCTTGGCTGCCAGTTTTGAGATCTGAGTGGGGAAAAAAAAAGCTTGAAGGTCTCAACATTTTAAGTATCTATTGAATTAGTTTCCGTGTGTGTGTGTGTGTGTGTGTGTGTGTGCGTGCGTGCGTGTGCGTGTGTGTGTGTGTGTGTAAAATACCATCTCTCTACCAGCTAGTGCTGGTGTCTCTGAATCCATTTTCCCTCTTTCAGATCTTCAATCTGCACCTTTTCTTGGTTGAGGAGAGGCAGTCACTTTATGGCACAAAGGGATAGATGGTCTTGGTGAATTTACCTGTTTTTAAACACAGCCTCACCTTCAATTGACTTTCAGAGGTACCTAATGCCAGTGATTTATGTGTTTTGGGGGTTCTGTTTACTGTAGCCTTCTATCTCCATTTTTGTCCTGGTAGGTTTAGATATTAGACACAGACACACACACACACACACCCCACACACAATAATACAATCTTTACTGCTAATTTAGTGGGCCTGAGAATACATTCAACATTCATTTTAGACAGGATTCCTCCAAACTTTTGTATTGTTTTTTAATTTTAGTGCAAATCTAATATGTTTAGATAACATAATGTTTATCAAGTTGGACCTTGGAATTTGTTGGTTTCATTTGTGATTAGTACATGGCTGTTTTGTTGGTGTTTACATTTAAAAAATATTTTTCATTTGTTATGTGTAATTTTTTTCTGTCTCTTAATGAGCTTATTAATCATACTATTCAAACTTTCTATATCTTTACACATTTTCTAATCATTTAATTACAGGGTGGTTCTATTTAAATCTGCAAAGACAATCATTAAATTATCTACTTCTCACTATAATTCTATCAGTTGCTACTTTATATATATATTGATGCTACATTGTGGGGTACATATTTGGTTCCTGATTATTATGATCCCTTATTATTTTGACTTTATGTGCATATATAGTTCATACTTGTCCTTTGTTATTTTTTCAAGTTAAATTCTATTTTTTTTCTGATATTAAAATTATCTGGCTTTCTTTTGATTCATTTTTGCCTAGAGTTTCTCTTTTCCTTATTTCTGGTCTTTTCATACCTTTTTGTTTTAAGCACATGTTTTGTAATCAAAATACTGTAATCCAATATTCTATTATAATCACAAGGTACTATAATTTGGCTTTGGATTAGCTATTTTCATTGACTTACATATATTAGAATAGACACCATTATTTCTGCATTCTTATTTAGTATTTTTTATTTACCACACATTTTATATTATGTTTTCTTCTTTCTTGTCTTCCATTGGAAATACCAAATTTCTTTACCTGGTGTGAATATTTTATTAAACCTAGTTTCATTCTTCTTATGCTTACTACAAATATAGTAAAATTCTTACTTATGATTATTTTATTTCCTCATTTCTTAATTTTTTATAAATATTTTTGTCTTTCCGCTAAAGAAGACAACTACCTTAGCATAATATATCACATTCCCTCAATTCCCTTCACCTAGCATTTTCGCTTCAAATTATTGTAGCCAGCATTACATTTTACTAATTTTACTCATATTTTGTGCTTTTTCTTGTGGTATCATTCGATTTATTTCCCTTTTCCTCAGATTACTTTTTAAATAATATTTTCAAAGAGAATCTTTTTGTAGTAAACTCTGGAATTTATAGATGTTTGAGTAGCTCTTTATTTCATGCCTGTATTAAAACATTAATTAGCTATGTATAACATTATAATTTTAGAATTCTTTTTCTTAAATAATTTGAAATATAGTGTATTATTTTAATACATCAAGTGTTATAAGAAAAATCTATACATCAATAAGAGAAGTTTGATATTAATATGATCTTAGTCCTTTGTGATCTCATTTTTATTCAGAAAGCTAAAATTTTTTAAATTTTGTATTTAATGGTGTTAAGTTTCATTAGGTAATTATTGGCTTTACCTTATCCACCTTCTTTTGCCCTCTTTTCAATCTTAAATCTTTTATTCTGAGAGCTTCTTCGAATATTTCTTTTTCTGTTAGTTTTCCCTTTTCTTTGGACTGTTATATAGATGATAATAACTCATTTCAACTCTTCATAGCTCTTGAATTTTCTTTTATACTTTGCCAATCTGTACCTCTTCCCAATATATGATGGATAAATTTCTCAACCTACTATCTAAAATGCATTTTTTTTCTTAAGCCACATCTCTAATTTGCCATTTAATTTAGCTATTAAGCACTGTATTTCAATTGTGTTTTTTCTCATCCAGGATTTTCAAATAGTTCTTTAAAAAAAAAACTTTTTGCCTTTATTTCAAATTCCTATTTGTTTTCATATCTTTTTGAAAATATTTACTGTGTTTGGTTTAAATTGGTTTTCTGTCTAGTACTATTATTCTGTTCCTCTAGTATAGATTATTCAAAGTATTACCTTCCTTTTATAGCAGGTAACTTATAAAATTTCTTGTTATTCATTGTAACCTCATATTTGTCTGGAGGCATTATTACATCAATAGGGTATACAATGAGAGAAGCTAAATTCCAGGTCTTAACTTTTGACATCCCTGCAGTGGCTTGGGTGGGCATGGTGGCTCACCCTTGTAATCCCAGCACGGTGAAAGGCAGAGGCGGGTGGATTACTTGAGGTCAGGAATTCGAGACTAGCCTATCCAACATGGAGAAACCCTACCTCTACTAAAAATACAAAATTAGCAGGGCGTGGTGGCAGGGACCTGTAATCCCAGCTACTCTGGAGGCTGAGACAGGAGAATCGCTTGAATCCGGGAGTCAGAGGTTGCAGTGAGCCGAGATCATGCCACTGGACTCCAGCCTGGGCAATAGAGTGAGACTCTGTATCAAAAAGAAAAAAGAAAAAAAAAAGTATATCTATATATATAAATGTGCCTTAGAATGGAGAATACTGGTATTTAATCTAGGCCCATTTACCACACTCCCAACCAGTTAATCCTGCCCCTCAGTAAAACTTCCTTTTCCATCATCCTTAGCCTGCTCTTATCTCAGAGTTATCTTCCTCAATTGTAATAACTGAGTTCATGCAACAAGGGAAGAGGAAGAAAGAAACCTTCTCATTTGCAGTTCTTTGCTTCCCACTTCATGCACCTCTAGACGCACTGGAGTGCCACCTTTCAGCCTAGCAGACGTGGTAAGAAGCTGCTCAATTTTTGCTTTGCAGAAATGATGAAATGAGCAGCAGTCCAGCCAGGGCAATGTTGTGGTGAGAGAAGAGCAGATAGATAGAAAGGCTTTTCCCCAACCCAACTCCTATTGTACACAGCCCTCATCTTCTCTGAACTGCTGCTCCCAGCTACATCATATTTCATTCATCTTTTCTTTCCAGGGTTTTCTCAGATTTGCAGCATTATTTTCTCAGATTGGTCAATCTCACCCCCTTCTTACACGTGTGGCAGATTCAGAGTTGAATTTGGGAGATGAAGAAAAGAGTCTATGTTATTTTGACATCTTGGCAAAAAGGGGAAGCCTCAATAATACTTAAATAAGAATATCTTGGAAATAGCAGAGATCAGAGCTCCTAATTGTAATCATGAGAATTCAGAGTATCAAGTCTTTGTTCAAGGAAAAGGAATCCTTTTATTTGTGATTTAAATGCCTTAGAAATTAAGTGGCAAATTTTAGTTGAATGAATGGCTGAATGAATGTACTGTGTGTTTGTTCTTTTGCACTGGAATATGCATATGTGGTGGAGAGGGTGGTGTAAATGCGCATGCTCCTCTGCTTTCATGTGTTTAGGGATATATGACTGGTCAATTCCATGTGTGACTACAAGAGATGTTGAGAAAATCACCCTAAGCCTTGCTTTGAAAATATTCAACTACAGTAAGAAGTCATCTAACATTCTAATTTTTCATGAACATAAAAGAGCAAAAAGAAAAATTACATTATCTTGTAATATAGAGAATGTTATACAGAGAAATTACATTCCACTCATTTAATGATCATGTATTAAGTCACATGCTAGCACTATACCAGACAATAGGATCACAAACATAAGTAAGATATAGTGAATTCATAATCTAATATGAATCTATAATTTAAATAATATCATCTATACAATAATACAGATACACACAGAAGATGATGGGAGCAAACTCAGAGTCTGCAATTCCAACTACTGGAGTCAAAGAGTAGCTGAAAAGATCTCTGGGAAGAGCCATGGAATCAGGTAAAACTCAGGGTATGTGGGGATGATGAGTCACATGATGTGGCCAGAGTGCAGTGGCACAGAGCCCAGGAAGATGAAGGACAGGAACTTCTTAGAAAGTTGGAGACACAGATGGAGTCATAGGATAAACAAAGTTAGATGCCATCACAAGGAATTTATATAAAACCCATAACCTAAGTTATAGAAAGTCTTAAAATCTTTGCAAAATAACTTTTTTTCAGATGACCTAAATATACTGGATTATTTTTGTGTTGCCATGAGGTCTATCTCTTTGAAAGCCTGTGAAAACTACTGAAGCTTCTGCCTTATTCAAATAATCAACATCCTTAAGAAGTTAACATAATGGGGTGATATAAGCATACACTTTGCAGTCAGATGTAGAATCTTGGCCGATTCGTCTATTCAACAAGCTATGTGACCTTGGGCATATGGCTTAAACCCTCTGAGTATCAGTTATGAAATGGTATCTTAGTTCGTGTGACCATTAGGTGGTTTAAATGAGGTAGCCCAGTAGATGTATAATAAATGTAACATTTTGAAGAGAGGACCATTTAGTATATGGCTTACGTTATAAAATAATAGTTTAAAATCAAAAGGTTGATTCTCTAGTGATCAAAATTACTTCTTTATTATCATAGGGAGGTAACTTATATCACATATTTTTAGAAATGAGTTTGACACATCGCAGATGTTCAGTAAACCCTTGCAGAATTAATGAATATATTTTTATAAATACCAAGTTGTTCTGGACTAGAAGGTCAGTATGATGCTGCCAAGTTAAATAATATAACTTATACAATTATTTTTAAAGTATTTTCAAGACAGTTGTACTTCATTTTAACCCCTACTACACACACACACATATATATGTATGTATGTATGTATATGTGTATATATATATATATATATATATATATATATATATATATATATTTGCCAGAGGATATAATGCATTACTTTTTTGTGTAACTGAGGCTGAAAGAGCTCAAATTTAAATCAAAGGCCTTTTTGTGGAAACTTATTAGAATTCTTTTTGTGGTTAAGTGATCTAGCAATGAAAGCTGTGTTTTCCTGGTTTCCTAAATCTCTGGGAGAGGAGTTATTCTGCGTGCAAAATGCATTCAGCTGTCAGAGCAATGGGCTCTGGAACAGACCAACAATTTTACAGTTGAAGACCAGATGTGATTGAAAGTGTCGACAAAAAGCAGAGTCACAGGGTCAAGTGCTAATTTTTCAGATCAATTTTTAAACCATCTCTGCTGATTAGGGCAACAGCAGTATCCATGTACATTGTGGGAGAACAGAAGCTAACATAATTCATCTCAGCTTAGAAAATTTGTGAGGTATTCTTGATTCATCCTTTTTTTCCCTGCACATTTGAAAACATTTTGGAGGGGAACTGTGGGAATCATCTTCCCCAGAACACTGGCAGATCTTTTTTAATTCCATTAATGGAAGCTTGGTGCCAGTTCAAAATGCTTTGTTAAATATTATCCTCACTGGTGCCCCTGTTTCCAGCATTCCATTGGCACAGAGTTTAGAACCCAGATCTCTGCAAACGTGTTAAAAGGTAGGAGTCATTTTTTTTCTTTCATCTGGCGGTTATCTGGGAAGTTCTGAACTCATAATAGTTGCTGAATGGTGCTGTCCTGCGTGAAAGAATACAGAGAGGGAAGTTCCAGCTGGTTTTTTTTTTTTTTTTTTTTCAGTGTCACAGGAAAGAGCTGTGGTTCTGGATAATTTCCCATGCTCATTCTTTTCAAAATGAAGAATCCTGAAATTCAACTATAGTATAAAATTACTCAAATTCCAGTTTTCTTTCCAGAAAATGGACAAAGCAGGATATATTTTTCATTGATAAGTAGGCAAAAACAATTGTTTCTTCCCAATCTTGAATTTACATTAGTGTCTATGTACCATCCAATAATCTCACATGACTTTCACCTCAATTGTGTGCACCTGGACAGGACAATACAAAAAGCTGGATTCACTAGCCCTGGGAAAGCTGGATGAGACCTGAATGATTCTCAGGAGGAAAAATCAAGCACACTAAAGGTGAAGTCCTTCTGTTTCTTTTATGAAAGAAAGTTTCACAGGGGAAAAATTTATATCTAGGCCATTCTTCCATTTAAGGCTACCACCAGCTTTATTCATTTGGATGAAGATGCAAAGTAATTGTTAAAACTGAAATTTTAGGCCGGATATGGTGGCTCATGCCTGTAATCCCAGCACTTTGAGAGGCTAAGGCAGGCGGATCACAAGGTCAGGAGTTCGATAGCAACCCAACCAACATGGTGAAACCCCATCTCTATTAAAAATAGAAAAAAAAAAAAAAAAAAAAGGAGCCGGGCATGGTGGCATGCCTGTAATCCCAGCTACTTGAGAGGATGAGACAGGAGAATTGCTTGAACCCAGGAGGCAGAGGTTGTGGTGAGCCAAGATTGTGCCATTGCACTCCAGCCCAGGCAACAAGAGCGAGACTCCATCTCAAAAAAAAAAAAAAAAAAAAAAACTGATATTTTAGAACATTACACCTATTCTTTAGCATTTGTCTAACCAATTTGCTGAGGATATAGTCTCATGTGTTCTCCTCCTTTATGAACAAATGTGAATGCATAATGAACGTGAATAGCAGTTCTAGTCTTACATTGGATTCCTTGTATCAATGCCACTGGCCATGAAAAGCCTGAGCTATTGAATGTGCAGTGTTAATATGCAAGGTAAGGGAGACCCACACTTCACTTGACATTAAGCCTCCAACCTTATTTGGGAAAATATTCCTTACCTGATAGCATGGCGTACCACCCTTTCAAGTAACATAAACAATATTTAGAAAGGTGATTTAATGCAGAGAACACAGTATCAACAAACATGGGATCTGGATTATGCAAAACAAAACTGAGAATTCATCAATATTCCTTTCTTACATTTTAATCAAACAATTACATATATTTAGGTATAATATGAGATGGTAAGTATAATGATCTTAGGATGAATGGGGATCAATGGTGAGTGCAGGGTCAGCACCCCAGCCTGAGGATGTTGGGACTACTTAACATAGAAGACTCATATAAGCTAGCTCTTACATGCTGAATAACAGTTTTTCCAGCAGAGAAGGAAAGGAAAGTGTGGTGGACAGAAAGATGACCCCAATGACCTTGACTTTGTATAATTCCCTTCCATTAAGAGTGCATGACATCTGTGGATATAATGAGATATTACTCCTGTGACTGCATTGTATCTATGGCAAAAGAAATTTTGCAGATGTAATTAAGGTCTCTAATCAGTTGAGTTAATGAAAAGGAGGATATTTGGGTGGGCCTTATCTAATCAGTTGAACATTTAAAAGGTCTGAGTCCTTCCTGTAATCACAGAGGTTGAAAGCGTGAGATGGTCTATGGTGGGGACCCTGTGACAAGGACCTGAAAGTAGCATCTGAGAGCTGAGTGCAGACCCCAGACAACATCTAGCAATATCATGGGAACCTGTGTTCTATAGCTACAACAAGGATGTTAATTCTGCTGAGCATCTGAAACTACTTGGAAGCAGATCTTTCCCTAGTCAAGTCTCCAGCTGACTGACATCTTGACTTCAGCCTTCTGGAATACCAATCAGGGAACCCAGCTCTGCCTAGCCTCAACTTCTAACCTACATATGATAATAAATGGATGCTGTTTTAGCCACTTAGCTATTGAGTGGGTTTTTAAAGACTCTATAGCAATAGAAAACTAAAACAGAAGAGAATCCTACAGAGAAGTAATAGCATGGGCTACCTTGTAGGCGAGAAGGTACACCAGGAATGTGGTAGGATGGCCAATGTCCTTTGCGGCCAGTCAGACATGTCATGTTGAGGAGTGACAGGAGATGGGTGAAAAGTCAAGTTAGAGCTACTTTGTGAAAGGCCTTTTAAGAAGGAGCATGATCAGATTTTAAGCACAGAAGTCCAATAATTAGACCTGCATTTAGAAAAATAAGTGGTAGAAAAGTAATGGAATTGGAGGAAGATAACGTGGAATACAGGGAGACCAATAAGAAAGCTATGGTAATAATCAAGGCAAGAAGTGCTGAAGGCTTAAGGTAAGGCTGAGCTATAAAAATGAGAAAGAAAGGGTGCTTCAAGGGACATTTTAGTGACCAACGTTTTTGTTCTCAACATTATTTTAAATTTCTCTGAAAAACAGTAGAGCTGTGGATCTTCTAGCTGGCGACAAAACCTCAAAAAATCATCTGCTGATATATTTCAAATATAAATAGTTCATCATAAGCTAAGAAAACATCGAGTTGCTCAGGTGAAAATAAGTAGGTATAAGCAAAAGTACATAAGTAGGCATAAGCAAAATATACATAATTATATATATATATATATATTTTTTTTTTTTTTTTGAGACAAAGTCTCGCTCTATTGTGCAGGCTGGAGTGCAGTGGTACAATCCTGGCTCACTGCAACCTCTGCCTCCTGGGTTCAAGCAATTCTCCTGCCTCAGCCTCCCGAGTAGCTGGGACTACAAATGTGCACCACCACATCTGGCTAATTTCTTTGTATTTTTAGTAGAGATAAGGTTTTGCCATGTTGGCCAGGCTGGTCTCGAATTCCTGACCTCAAGTGATCTGCCCGCCTTGGCCTCCCAAGTGCTAGGATTATAGGCGTGAGCCACCACACCTAGCCAAGCCATGTTTTTGCTTAATTCTTTTTTATTGTATATAAGTTCTATGATCATAGCATAGTGATTTGGTTGATCCAGGGCACTATTTTAAGATAAATAGTAAACTATACATCAAATTGAGATACATCTTTTATCTTGTCTAGCCTCCTGCTTTTAGAGAGGCAAAATATTATTATTCACATGAAGTAATTTAGGTTAAGAAGGCCAACTAACCTGTCACCAGGCCATCACCACACTCGAGAAGGTGACTAGAGGCTCATTTTGCAGACTCCTGCTTTTTTCCATTACACCATCAACAGCAGACCAGGCAAGTGATTGCACTGAAGAATCTGGGAGACACATTAGCCACAAGAACAGGGTCACAGGAGAAATGATACGGACAGGAATTTCCAAGATGAGTCTGGGAATAATGCAAGAAATAACAAGCATTTTCATTTTTAACTCTCTGCTATATTTTTAAATTGAGTGTATAGAGTCTACTGTATATTTTTATCAAACAAGAAAACACTCATTTTTAGCATAGAATCATTAGCCAGCTTTTGTTAAATTCTAACAGCTTTACAAAACAGACTCAGATTCAAGTTTAAAGAACTATGTTCAGTTTTTCTTTTTTTCTAATTAACTCAGAGTTGAGATTTAATTGTGCCCAGGGCCTTAACAACACTGCTGTGCTTATTGGCATAATCTCTAGAATCCAGATTTTGCATATACACACCATGGTAACTGTTACTGTTATGTCTTCCTGCAGCATTTTCCTTTCTTGTAGCTAATCTTTTAAAAAGCCAAACCTCATTATTTTAGGTCCTTACCTAGATGAAACATTTGCTTTTGCACTTAAATGCTGTCAGAAACTCTGATTGGAACACAGCAGGGTAACCCACGTTACGGGGCTCCTTCCAGGCTTCCTTTGAAGTCACTAGGAACAAGGTGCAAAGAAGGGACACTCTCTATGTGGAAGGGAGTGATAAGGATCAACATCCTATACTAGGGTGAAAATATGTTCACTTCTGAAGATAATATCTCTTTGCATTTACATTCAATGTTTGTAAGGATCCTGGAGAAATAGTACAGGAGCTGTGCCTCGGTTCCTGGATGAATTGAGCATTTGTTGCCCTGGAAAAAGAATCCATCCTGTGGGGATGTCAATGGCAGCTGAATGAAGACCAGAAAGGATGAAGAATTGCAGATCGAGCCCTGGCCCCAGTTGGATGGCATTTCAACCAAGCGTGGTATAATTTTTCCTTTTTGTTTAATGGCCTTGTGCTTTTCTTCCCTGTTAGGATGTGGGGTAGAGCACGTTCAACCCAGGCCTGCGCTCTTGGGATGCCTAAGAAGGGCACAGTAGGCTCCCTACTCTCGATGTGTGGCATTTTCCTGGGGCTCCGCAAGGGCCAGTTGGTGGTGTTTGCAGGTTTTCCAGGTGTTGCTAAGTTCAGTTTCTCACAGAAACTCTCTAGAAACTTTAGAAAGGTTTCTTTTTGGTGGATCATGCTATTCCTGGGGATGACTACAGGATTTAGGAGTCAACATTTTGGACCAGGCTCCAATATGAAGCAACACAATCAGCTATAATCTGGCCTAACCCTAACAGAATATTACATCACCATTAACTTGGGAATTTCATGTTTACATGTTTAGGTGTAATCATATTTAACCCCATCAATCTGGCCACACATGGGAAAAGCTCCCATTCACTTTCCTGCAAGCACAGTCTGCAAAAGGAGCTGTACTCAATGTCCGAGTTGCCTTTGAGTCCACGTGCCTTTAAGGCAATTACAACATCTTTCCCCAATTCTGACCTTAGCACTGAGACACTTCTGCCAAGATCCCACAAGTTACAGTCCCCTGGGCTTGTTGCTGAGATCCTGTAAAGTCATTCCACTGGCACAGCTACAGAAAGAGCCACACCCAGGACACAGCAGGCCCAGATTGCTCACTCTCTGCCCATTGTCCCAAGCCATCAAAAGAGAATACATGAAATCTAGAATCCTCAAAGAGAAGAATAGGAGAGGAGAACCACAGCACAAATGGGCAATGCTCTGCTCATCCATTAATGTCCCACATTGCATCATCTTTTGGAAGCCTTATTCACTCCTCCCTCACCCCCACCCTCTGTTTCTTGACATATAGTTTTATGATTTCCTGTGTCACAGAACTTACTACACTGCATTGTGCTTACACATCTTTCTCCTCCACTGGACTTTAATCTTCTTGAAGACAGTGATTGCCCTGATTTATCTAATCAAGTAACATTTATTGAGTGCCTACTGTATACCAGAAATTGTTCTAGGTATTTCAAACACAGTTGTGAATAAGGTAGGCAGGGTGTCCACTCTAGAACTCAATTCTGGCGAGGGAGACAAATATATAGGCATTTTTTCTAAACACATTTAAATTCCCAGATTCTAACACAATGCCGATCGTATAGTCAGAGTATAAATATATATATATATATATATATATGTGTGTATATATATATATGTGTGTATATATGTGTATATATATATGTGTGTGTGTGTGTATATATATATATTTTTTTTTTTAAATAAGTGAGTGAACCTATAACAACAAGATGTTTACAAAGTGCCTTTTAAGTATGAACTAAGTACTTCCAATTTTTTCTGCAACACTGTATGGAAATATTAGCTTCTTCACACCTGTCTGCAGGCTACTGGAGGACCCACTAAACTGGTTCATAGAAGCGTCACAAAGTTTAGGACAATCCACAGGGATGGCTGTGGCACCAGCCTGTCACCCTGCCCAGTAGGCATATCTGAGGGTTGTATGCCCCTGTGTCCAGGCTGGAGCAAGTGGCATATGAGTGTCACCATGAATGGCAAGGGAATGACAAAGCCCACAGAGAAGCCCCTACTGTCACTCTTGCATCTTGCTGGGTTTCTAACATTCAAGATCTGAGTGCCAACAGAATGTTCCCATATTCTGTATGCCAGCCCACCCAACAGAACATGAGGCTCTGCATTAATTGAGCCCTTTCATTAGGAGTGATTCATCTTACAATCCTTCAGAATCCACTTGCCATGACTTCCTGTCATAGTGGACATCTACATGCTGCCAGCATCTTCTTTTGAAATCTGCCTCTTGCTTTCTCCAAGTGACCCAGAGGGGGCTGTTAATAACCATATGGCTTCCTTGTCACAGATTTGGAAGGTATGGAGGGGACACTGACTTAAGTCTTTTTCAGGAACTGTTATGGATTCTGAAAGAGTGACTGTGCTTTTTCCTCTGAAGCCATGATATCTAGGGAGATATAAACAGTACTTATAATCAAATAAAATTATTTTTATTTTCCATTTTCCCTTCAAAATTTCATCAGACTTAAACTTTTTTGTTGGCCAATTTTCTGATGATATGTAGGTCCTAGAGTTATTTGAAGTCACCCGTACAGTCCCAATTCAGAAATTACAATGCTGAATCCAAAATGTTTACTTTAAACTTGATTTAAAGTAAAATATTCTCCTATTACCCAGTTTAGGCCTGGTTTAGGCTGGGAGGCAGCAGGGAATGGGGGTGGGGAGGAATGACATGGCTGACGTTTTTTGTATTTCTCTACCAGATTTCTCCACTTTTCCTAACAGCTCAACCCCCAAGCTTGTTAAGTAGTTTTTGATCCCTTTGGGATCAGAGTTATGGGTGGAGAAGAAGGAATGCTAACAAGTGAGGAAGATCCCTACTTAAAATGATTCTCGGGAGGCCGAGGCGGGTGGATGACGAGGTCAAGAGTTCGAGACCATCCTGGTCAACATGGTGAAACCCCGTCTCTACTAAAAATACAAAAAATTAGCTGGGCATAGTGGCGCATGCCTGTAATCCCAGCTACTCAGGAGGCTGAGGCAGGAGAATTGCCTGAACCCAGGAGGCGGAGGTTGCAGTGAGCCGAGATCGCGCCATTGTACTCCAGCCTGGATAACAAGAGCGAAACTCCGTCTCAAAAAAAAAAAAAAAAAAATGATTCTCAACTAAACTGGCTTCATGCTATCTGGGGAGCAGATATTTACAACCATCTCTACCTCTTGCAGGCACTTTCAAGGTACCTTTGAATATTGCCAATATTGGAAGGCTATTTTCTATTGTTCTTCTTACCCATTTTGATGAATTTCTTGTGAGTCCTGCTGCAGCACCTAAGAACACACCATTCACCTCCAGTGCCTTGCTGTTGGGGTTACCCCTACCCCTCTTTGTGACCTTCTTGGGCCAGACCCAGGTTGAGTCCACACTGGCTCTTCTCTTACCTGGCCTTCCTCTAGTTCATCAGAAACACTGACACATCTCTTGTGTCAGCAAACTCTGCAAGCATCAGTCAATCTTAGTGCATCTCCTCTACCCTGCTACCCTGCTGTCATGGTGTCTGTAGCTTGCTCAGCTGTGATTTGGACATCAGCTGTCTCTATTTCAATTTAGAGAGCTCTCAAAGATGAATTCTCACTAGGCTTGAAATGAAAGAGTAGCTCACATGAAGAGTTCACAACAGGAAGAAGAGTTATACACACACACACACAATCTCTTTTTAAAAAATCCTTCCCCTCTTCACAGTCACAACGTCTATACAACCCAACCCTTTTTAAAACCTTCATCTGTCAGGAGAATCCAAGAATGGTTAGCACTGGCTCTCTGTCCTTTACTTTGTAAATTCTGCATGGCATAATCTGGCACTGGAATCCACCTTTATTTTACCTTGGTGGCTCACTGGAAACAGCTTGAAAATTTTGCAGATAATATATGGCCTGGAGATGTCGAGGCTCCTATGGAGAGATACTATTTGAAAAGACAGAGGCCAAACAGTTCAGAGACAGAAACAAAGGCCTGCCCTCTATCTGCCACCTTCTGGGGCCCTAGCTCTAGCCAAACTTGGAACTAGAATATCTCTATGACCTCTCATATGATCACCCTATTTAGCCTCTGCTGATTTGCATTAGTTTTCTATTACTTTTGACTGGAAGGAGTCTTTAATGCCCCCATTCCTTTTCACCTAGCCTACGAGCCAGGTAGGCCAGACCTATCTCTGACTTCTGAATTTACCTGGTGCTTTCCTCTCTCCACTCTTTTGTTTCAATGTTTCCTTTTAGGGAATACTCAATCCCTTCACCCCACTGCATGCAGTCCCTTATGCAGCAGAGGGGGAAAAAATTAACTACTTTCATGTTTGTACCTGAGTGGGAACTCACATGCACATACCAAGCAAAATAATGGGTTGATGATCGCCTTATAGGAATAGGGAAGGCCAATAGAGAATCTCAGTAGTAGCTGATTCTTTGTATAGCAAAAGAGCTTACCAGGCTGTTCTGTTAAAAGTTGAGGACACTAGCTGGGCGCAGTGGCTCATGCCTTTAATCCCAGCACTTTGGGAGGCTGAGGTAGGCGGATCACCTGAGGTCAGGAGTTCGAGACCATCCTGGATAACACGGTGAAACCCCTTCTCTACTAGAAATGCAAAATTAGCCGGGCATGGTGGCGTGTGCCTGTAATATCAGCTACTCGAGAGGCTGAGGCAGGAGAATCGCTTAAACTTGACAGGCGGAGGTTGCACTGAGCTGAAATTGTGCCATTGCACTGCAGCCCGGGTGACAGAGTGAGACGTCATCTCAAACAACAAAAAAAAAAAGTTGAGGCCACCGAGTCTGGTTTGGGAGGAGAGTATTCAAACGTGAGAAACCAAACTGTTTTGCATTTAAAACGGGATAGAAATTGAGGAGTTGGGGCTGAGAAGTGGAGAAAAATGTTGAGTCAAAAGGAAGACATTTCTGAAAGACAAGGGAAAGATGTAGCAGAAACTCCTAGTTCATCACCATTTATTCTCACCTTCCTTTGTAGTAAAGAAATTGGGATAAACAAGCCACCTTAAGGTTAGTTTGGTCTTATGACTAAATTCTCACTCAGGAAATGGGAGCAAAATAGGGTGTCCCCGTCCTGAGCCGGAGCCAGAGACAGTAGGTATTCTCTTCCCCGTTCACGCTGGCTGTAACCACTAGGGATTGCCAGCCTTGGCCATGCGAACAACGCAAGAGATCAGCAAAGCAACAACTCACTAACAACCAGGTCCCTGGAATGATTATATGAAGCAGACCCAAAGGCTATCCTAGAAACCTTAATTCAGACTGCTGAATTAAGGTTTTTATTCAGCAGTCTGAATTAAGGTTTCCAGGATAGACTTTGGGTCTACTTCATATCATCATTTTATTTGTGAAGGAGAAAGTTTTTTAGTTCTTTGAGT